GAGTTTACGTTTTTATACAGGATCAAAAAAGCTAAACCCAGAACAATACTTTAGGATGCATTTTGGACTATAAAATGGACCTTTTACCGAAGGGCCTTGTTCATCCAAACCTCTTTCATGATCTTGTGAAGTGAAGCAAAGAACAAAACTCTACAAATAGATATGAAATATATATATATACACACACTCTATATAATAATAAATTATGTTTACTATATGCACATTATACATATAATAATCCCTGCATTTGATATAGCCCTTTATCACGCCTTTGAGACGTCTAAAAGCGCTTCACAGAATATACGGTGAAGTGAACTGTCTCTATATTTCATGGGCGAAACGTGGCAGCCAATTGCGTCCCACTGCACACACAATGTATATGGGGAAGGAAATTTTAAGCACAGAAGAACATCTTCAGTCCATTAGAGCCCTGAAAAACACGCAACAGTATTACCAGGGAGAAGGAAGCTCAGGTCTCAAGTGTCCCTTACACAAGTTTCTTAACTGAATTACAGAAAAGCACTGCCAGCTGCTCATTTGCTATTTCACCGAGCCGCCCCTCCTTTTAAAATGCTTTTCAAGACAAAACAAAGTGCCCAAACTGGTCACCGAGTCCCAGTCGCAGATCTATCCAAGCAGGTTTTAAAACATTTTTGGCTGGGGAACCCTCAGGGGAATAGAAACTGCATAATCGGCGTGCACAGTAAATATTGTGAAAACACTAATATATATGTCAGTGATTCGCGACGTTCAACTGCGCCTCAGGATTTTTAAAAATTCATGAAGATTTCAATACTTACCGGTAATTGGACACTCTCAATTAAGTCGAGGCCGCTATTGTCTCGCAGTATTCTGCAGACGCAGCAACAATCCCGGGATTGAGATTTTTTTTTAATGAAATTGCGCTCGCCGCGATCCATTACAGCGCTGACTAATTTATGTTCACGTTTGAGCTGATCTGACACATTTTCTATTACGCTGTCTTTCCGAGTGGCGTTCATTCTTTATTTATACAAGCATCTACGAGTGTGTATGTGTGTGTGTATGTGTCTGTCTATATGTGTGTGTGTGTGTGTGACTGTGTGTGTGTCTGAGAGAGAGTGTGCCGGGGGTAATAATCCCTTAAAAAATAAATGTGGTCACTCCATCCACGACTGTTTGTGGGACGCTGCTGTGCGCAATTGGTTGCCATGTTTCACCCCCAAATATACAGCCAATTCTCTTTACGGTGTATTCTGTGAAGCGCTTTGAGACGTCTCGAAGACGCAATAAAGCGCTTTCTCAAAGACAAGGATTATTATTATTTTTATCATCAGATTTTATTTCTGCCCCTTGAAATCTAGATCTTTAGGACCCTGAAATCCAGGCAAACATTCCCCCTATACCTCCAGAAAGCTTTGCTCTGTCTCCGTTCATTTGAAATGGGAAATGCGCACTTGAGGGAAACTGACCTTTATGTCCGTTTGGGCTAATTTTTTTCTTGGCGAAAAAAAAAAAACGATTAGCATCAACTGGTTTATGCATGCAGGAATAATCCATTGTTTCTCCCCATCACCACCCCCACCCGCCCCCCAAAAGAAAATTAATTTGAGTCAAAACAATGCTCGCAGGCATTCCACAGGAAACTGCAAATATGAATAACCTCTGCTGACTCACTTTTCCATTTGAGGTCAGTACCGGCTTACATAATTTTAGGAGCTGCCATCTATTTACTCATTCATAATTCATCTGGGATATTAAGGCATCGCTCTTAAAGGGAAAGCGCTGAGGTGGACCAATCTCGCAACTGTTCCCTCTTTTATCTCTAACCAGAGAGCGAGCTTGAAAACGTTGCATCCTAGGTTGTGTCTGCTGCCAGAATTGCCGTACATTAATTTGAAAGGCTCTTTGATTGAAAATAAGATACTTAAAAGTGCATTTAAAAAGTCTGTACTGCAGGGCATATTATTACAGTGTCTGCTAGCAATTTTCTGAGTCTGGTTACCTTATCTCATCGACACGTCAATGTATTTTTGCTTAAGGATTTAACACAATTCCGAAGTGCCCTGCAATTCAAAACGAGCAATGAAGGCAACGGGTTTCTGTTAAACCCTTGCAATTTGCAATACATTTCGGAGGAATTGCTCTCTTCTTCCCAATCCTACCTTTTCTTTTCTTTTTAAAATAGTTAGCGTAGTTCAGGACTTCCCAAAGGCCAACCCCTTGGGACGTCCTCCCAATGTGAAAGGCGCTATAACAAATGTAATTTGCTGCTGTTGTTGTAGTTGCTACTCGGTCTCAGCTTCTCGTTATGCCAATTACAGTAAGAAAGGAAACCAGTCCAGACTACAAAGGGGGGAAAACCTTCTTTGAAGTAAGATAAAAACATAATGGGGTCAATGCAAAAGGAAGCCATTTGATTGTTCTTTAGCATTAGCGGAATGAACTATGAGGATCAACAAGATATGCTAAGCCTCTCTAACCCCAAAAGTCTCAGAAGTGGATTTATGGAGAGTATATTTACAATACCACAACTCTCAATGCAATCAGGGCAAATGGGCCCATTTATCTTCTTCGCATTCCAGCAGTGTGTCTGGATAGTTTCGAATCAAATCCAAATCTGATGCAATAAATGGTTTTATATGAAAAGCATTTTCCAATTGGAGTTACTGGCGACGTTTCATTACAAGTAAGAGCCAAGTCGGTCTAAACGCGCTTTCCTGCAGAGGTGCTCAGCATTGCTGATAAAGAGTGAATTCTTAACTTTTATTTTTAAGACTATTCTTCATTGATCTGATAAACGGTCCATTAGGTATCAGTGAGTTCAATTATTTTAGTGCAGTCCCATCGCATTGCAATACTCCTACAGTGCGGGTTGAGTTATAAGGCTCTCGTGAATGGATTTCAATTGTTCCTTTGATCTTTGAATACCAAACTCTCAGTGCCAATGGGAGGATGGATTTGTAGAAACTTTTTTTTTGCCATTGTAACTCTTTAGGTGTCAAGCAGGTCTGAAAATTCAAATGTTCTTAGCTTTAAAGGCCACTGTTTTTTTGAAAACTCTTAAACTTATTCTTAATTTAAGAGCTCCGAGACTGTACTTACGTGAAGGGCGCTATATAAAGGCAAGTCGGTTTGTTGTTAATTTGTAAGTACTCCTTTCTGAGTACAGCAGAAAACCGGCTTCCAAATTGAGACTGTACTTCAGAATTTTCCAAAAATGTTGCACCATCTTAAAATTTTAAGGCAATCACGGGAGAGGTTGGATGAAGAAGGATATTCTTCGGCCCATCTGATCTCATCTATCCCATCAGCGTGTCACACTGTTCTTCAAATGAATATCTGACAACGTGTTCCGGTCGTTAATTACCCTCCGCCTAAAGAAACATTCTCTTGCATCTGTCCTGAAACTGCTTTTTGCAACCCTAAGCCTAAGCTGTTCTGCGTCAGAACATTCAAAAGCACTGTTCTGGGCTTACTTTCTCAAACCCATTTAAAACTTTACACAAAGCCTTTATTATGGTCCCCTCAGAGACCTCTCCTTTCGAGACTGAAGAGCATTAGCTTGTCTAATCATTGCTCGTAGCTCATTCCTCCACACAGGGGTTCAACCAAGTTGCTCTCTTCTGCACTGCCTTTTTATGCTGCAGCAGCAACCAGAACTGTACACAGTACTTACTCCAGGTACAGACTGACCGAATCACTGTGCAGCATCACTATGACCCTGCAGCATCTGAACTCAACCGATTTGGCAATAAAGTCAAGCCCTGCTTTTTGTGCCTCGCACTGTTTCTACATAGTGAGCAGATGAGTCAACTGACATTCCCCAGTCTTGTTTAGCTTCTCCCACCCATCCGCCAGCAAGCTCAATTCCACCCGTGTAGTACATGTGTCTCCTATCTTTACTCCCGAAATGCAGTAGCTTGCATTTATCAGCATTGGTCTTAAGGCGAAGGTCATGAGAAATATCGGACTTCTGGCTCTCAATTGATTAATCCAGGCCCACCTTTAAGGTTAGGACTCAAGACAGCACCAACTCAACTAAATGGGCATCTCAGCTAAACCTCCTACTCCGCTGCCATGGAAACCTACGTTTTTTTGGAAGAAAAACTCGTCTGCGCGGGTGCACAGGCAATCCAAGTTTTTCGTAAAGTCTTGGTACTAAATCCGTCCGGGCCCAACTCGAAACGCTCAGCCCATTTTACAGCATGAACAAAGCTTTGGAGACGAGAGAAAAAAAATCAAAGGATCCAACACGTAAAAGCAGTCACCTGTAAAGTAGGCTAATCTGGATAGCCATTGTACATTTCCAGTAGGTCTGAAGCAAATATTATAATTTGGAGGCGGAAAGTCAGACTACTAGCTTTCTCAGTGGCTTTTAATATTAAGCAGCCTGTCCTACAAAAGATATTCAATCCTTGCTCTTGTATTTTTTATATCCTGACAGCTTCGTTAACAATCTATCTCAGGTTCACTGACTGCCCAGCGCCTTGGGATGTGCTCCTGACATAAAAAGGCTCTATACAAATGTAAGTTGTTGTTGTTGTTGTTATTGTTTCCCAAAGATGGCAGCTTTTCAGTGTACTGCTCGTTTATTAGGCTTCGATTGCGAAAGCCGACCAGATGGAATTTCCTTTAATAGATAAAAATTCGTCACGACTTGTTTCGACAAGGTTCACTGCTGTGGCCTGATGCAAGAGCCAAAGAAGAAGCCCATTATCTTCCAACAATGCGGCAAGGCGAAGCAGGAGTCCCTGATGTATCCCCTCGATCATCATTTTTCCACAGTTTTACTTTTCGCAATTAGTTTAATGCAACGGCCATGTTTTTATGAACCAGTGACTCTGATTCCCCACCCACCAGATCTGCTTGTCTCGTTGGCTCTGTGTCACACAATCTTGTCAAACGAGGGGGGTGGGGGTGTGGGGGGATGGATTTTACTAGGTCTGGACCATGTCCCGGACACCACAAACAGATATCGACACCTTCATTTGCTAGTAAAGTCCAGACCATCAACTTACCACTAAGTCGAGAAAGTTTATGTAGTGCTCAAATTCAGTTTGGGTTTCACAGAATTGCCGGAAAAGGAGTCTTCCAATTGGCAGCTTCTCGCAAAGGTTGAAATAGTCTCGGTCTGCAGAGAGAGAGAGAGAGAGAGAGAGAGAACATTATTCCCTTCAACGTTGCTCCCAACATGTGCTTAAAAAATGCATTCATTCTATGTTTCGCTAACTCAGTGTATTTGTCAAAGTTGAAGAAAAGCAGAGTTGAATGGTGCCACTTATTCTGTGGATTCTGTGGAAACAATAGAGCTAAAGGGCCGTAAATCATTAAACAGTAGCATCTGGAAAGGGATATTGAAAATCAAATCAACGGTTGAAGCACAAATAAATCTTCTCCTCCTCATTAATGTTAATCATTGGAGGTGTTTCCATCCAAAATGTTGACAGCACGTCAAAATTGGGATGGACAGCTTCTCCACACGCTTATCTTAGCGACTTATGACACCTGAGAAGCAGTCAGTTATTTCTTAATTCATTATTATTAGTAGTTATCAAAATGGGTTGCAATCAGCTTCAAAATGTAGCTGAGTTACAGTTAATAGGAAGCGCACAGTCAAAGTCACTATTGGTTGATTCACACACATCCACCTACTTCTTGCCTGCCTCCACCAGGATACTACTGCTGTCAACATACACTACAGTTACCACATTCCTCCTTGCAAAGTATCAGCCTGATACTCTGCACCGCGACACCAATTTATCACTCGAGTTTTGTAACCCAAATCTTGGCAATTTACATATTGAGCTAAATGTCAGTTCTTCATAATAATAATCCTTGCATTTGATATAGCGCCTTATCACCTCTTCCAGATGTCTCAAAGCGCTTCACAGGATATACTGTAAAGTTGAATTGATTGTATATTTTGTGGGCAAAACACACCAGGCAATTGCACACAGCAGCGTCCCACAAATAGTCGTGGATTGAGTAACCAAATTATTATTATTATTTTTTTGAAGGGATTATTACCCCCTGAAAAGTGATCCGCCAATTGACTAACAGCCAGGTTCCTACTTACTGCTAGATAAACAAAGGCATGTGGAGTAAGAAACTTGCCCAACTTAAGCCTAGAGTTTGCAGGCCAGAGACGATGGGTAGATATTTCACCTGCGCCTCTAATAAATAGATTTACTCTATCAACATTTCAGAGTCAGCAGAACCTGTCTGTTACTTTGACATCCGTTTTCTGGAGGCTCTTAGTAGAGCTTATAGAAAACCAACGTCAAACTTAACAACTAGACTTAAGAAATTCTAGACGCTCTGAAATGTTACACTAATGGAGTACATTTAAGCTCAGCTAGAATTGCTAATGCTTTCAAATTTGCTTAACCAACAGATAAAAGATTCAAATTATAAGATGACATTCCAGCCTACGGTGATGCATATGGATGCAAGGTCAGAGGTGCCGTCCTCCAGATGAGACGTTAAACTGAGGAGCTGATAAGGTGTTCAGGTTAAAGATCCCACCCCACTGTTGGAAAAGAGTTCCAGGAAAAAGGTGTTCGTTCATTTCATTCCCATTTGTGAGACACTGCTGTGCACAAATTGTTTTCAGCGCCTTCCGACGTGAAAGGCGCTGTATTACATGGAATTTGTTGTTCTTGGCGCATTCGCCCACAAATACACAGTCACTACACTTCACAGCAACATCTTTGGGAGCACTTTGGGACGCTTTTGACAACATCCATCTCAAATACAAGTAATGATATTATCATATAATGACGAAGTACAATCAAACTACTGTATTCACCACCTTACGTTTCGCCCACAAATATACAGCCAATTCACTTTACAGTCTATTCTGTGAAGCGCTTTGAGATGTCGCGAAGACGTGAAAAGCGCTATTATCAATGCAAGGATTATTATTATATTATTATTATATATTATATTATTATTATTACTAATGGTGCATCTAAACAGGCAGATTAAGGCAGGCGATGGAGTTGAGAGTTTTATGTAAGCTCTTTCACTGGGAGCCTGATTTAGTCAGGTGGTTGCAGGTTACAAAACTACTTGCATCTCCAAACCAGAGACTTAAATAACCATTCCGGTGAACATCACAAAACCATGCTATTTGGGCAAATTCTGATCTTTGTCTCACGACTCTAAAATGGTGTCCTTGAACGTAATACACCAGAAAAAGAATATAAACGGCATGGGATCAAACGCGAAGAGCGAGTGAAGGTTTTGGCCTCGAAGTGCATTAAGACTTTAGTGCATTATTGACATTTGGTTTTTCTTGTCTGTTGAACTTTGAAGTTTCTGTGGTTCTACCAAAAAAACAACTGAGAGGAGTTCCAGACTTTCGGGAACTTTAGATATCTTTCGTGACCACATGCTAAGCAAAAGTTATGAACGACGTACAATATGTTCATCAGCACGACCAATGCCCTCTACAGTTTCAGAAAGATGTAATGCAAAAGTTTTTTTGTTCAAATAAAATGGGTGTTATTATCTTTCATATCCTTCAATTAAAGTAAAATCTCACCTGTCTCGATGCACTCTATTAAGGTAGCACTGTGTTTGCCTAGAAATACACACTCACTCCAATTTACAGTATATCCTGTGACAATCCTCCCAATACGAAAGACGTTATAACCAAATGTAAGGAATATTATTTCAGAGCATCCAGAAATTGGCAAATTGTTGAATTCAGTCTTTGCTTTGAAGCCGGTCTTCTGTAGTCCTTACAGAAAACCAACTTCAAAATTAAGGCTGCAATTAACAGTCTGAAATGTTCTGTTACACTGACAGAGTAAATTTAAACGAAGGTGGAATTTTACCCCTATCATTATGTTCGTATGCTAGAACATGCTTTTATGCTAGAAAATAATATTTGGGGATAGATACGGTATATAGTTTGGGACACGACATGTCAAGCAACTGCCAGGACGGTGAAAGGTGAACCAGATGGACCTCGGTCTTCTTTCACCAGCAAATTCTTATGTTCATTGGTAATGCTTTATGTTCTGCTCATGAGCAGTCAGACCGGACAGTGAGGTCATGTGGAAGGTTTGCTCGGTGTGCGACAGATCACAAGATCCACGCTCAAAGTGCAGCTTTGAGTGCGTTTTGGCCAAACTCGCAGCATCTGAAAGATATCATCGAGTGGAGCTTGGGCTGAACATCAAGCTCTTGGCTGGCAGGAAGGATGTTTTCAGAAAGGAGGAGTGGGTCATAAATTTACCACGAGTCACAACGCAATGCCAACTGGGCCCATGAAGATGTCTTTCATCACCTTTCACTGTTGAAGACGGAAAGGCTTCTATACACGGAGAGAATGGGGCAGAAAGTAGCACTTTGTGACTATATCCTCCTCCATTAACCCTGTCCGAGACTCTCGCTGCTCACTATTGCCTCCAGTTTTCATTTCCTAATCCCGTTTGACTCTTTTTCTTAGTTGCTCGGATTTACACTGGCCCCAAAATTGCCCTTTTAAGTATAACCTGCATCCACAGCCTAAATACACTGACAGCAATTAAGCCACCCAAGGTTTAAATTTTGCACTCCGCACGTACATATTAAAACAAGCAGCTCCTTAGAAAGTAAAACATTGTTTAGTTTTGAAGATAGTGTTGTTAAACAATTTTTGTTCGGTATAATGGTGCCATAACAACAGGATGTAGCCAGAGACAGCTGGAACAAGAACAGATGGGATAGCGAACATAGGTTGGGAAACACAGTACCATTGGGAGAAATGTGCAAACTCACTTTTTTTATAGAGAGAAGAGCATAACTTTGTACAGTATCGGATTAAACAGTTCACAGTTGACTGTCAGAACAAAGCACTCTGTATTTGGAATACTAAACAAAGCTCAACTTCAATAGCTCGGGAAGATTTCTACGCTGATCCGATGACTGTTAGCCCGGAAATGCATTCCCCTTTTTTGAGTTTTTTTTAAAAAACAAAAAACTCCTCGAGTGTCTTCCTTCTTAGCCGATCGCATCTTCCGTTCCAACGTTTGATCCAACACTTGTCAATTGTTGCTCTTGTCAAGAGTACAGGAAACACAACGCACTTGACCCAATTATTGTGAATAGCTTGAGAAACAAGAGTAAAACATTCAAACCAGCCTGCTAGGTGACCACAAAATCAGGATACCATTTATTTTAATAATAATTACTTTATTTCTTCATTATGTCTTCAAGACGTTTTAGACATTGAAATGGTATCACGAGTTTTTGGTCACCCTGTAAAATAAGCGACACACCGTCACAATACCAAGAGGCAAATACGTCAGATGAAACATCTTTGGGTGGTTTTTAATGTAGATTATTGCTGGGCAATCAGATTTTTCCACTCCGGTGTGAGCACCAAGCACTTCCAGATATAGTAATAATAATCCTTGCATTTGATATAGTGCCTTATCACTTTGAGATGTCTCAAAGGGCTTCACAGAATATACTGTAAAGTGAATTAACTGTAGATTTTATGGAAGAAATGAGCATTAATTAATGCCAAATTACAGGTTGTTCTGTGCTACAAATCGATAACCTCAAAAGAAACGGGCTGAAAGTGTGGAGTCATTTTACTTGGTACGCTGAAAACTAATAGAAAAACTTTCACTCTCGCAGAGTCGACAACATTAAACCCAGAACCCACCAAGTCACTGTAAAAACTGGTTTATATGGTGTACTGTTTTTCATTTCCCGAAAGCGCAGTTGGAACACTTAAAAAAGATGTTTAATTATAAACATCTCTACTACAGGTGGAGTCCTGTAGCTCAGTGGTTAGAGCACTCGCCTCACAAAGCGAGAGTACCTGGGTTTGATTCCTGCCAGGGCAACACATCGTGCAAGTTTCCTTACTCCACACGCCTCTGTTTACCGGCAGTGAATAGGAACCCGGTTGTTAGTCGAATAGCGGGTGGTTTTTCTGAGGGTAATAATCCCTCCCCCTAAAAAATAATAATAATTTGGTCACTCAATCCACGGCTGTTTGTGGGACGCTGCTGCGCACAATTGGCTGCCGCGTTTCGCCCACAAAATATACAGTCAATTCACTCTACAGTATACACGGTGAAGCACTTTGAGATGTTTCGAAGACGTGATAGGGCACTGTATCAAATGCAA